TCTCTCTCTCTCTCTCTCTCTCTCTCTCTCTCTCTCTCTCTCTCTCTCTCTCTCTCTGATTTGAATCGCTCATACTACCTTCCTGAATACACCTGCCTACTCTGCTACTTCGCCTTCTTGCTACCCCTCGCGGCCATGGCCACCTTCGTCTTCCTCCTCTACACTAGCTATGGCGCTCACCCTTCGCTTCCAGCGCCTAACCCGACTGTCCCATTTCACGATGGTCGCAAAAGCAGTACAGCAGAGCTTCCGCAACATGTGAGTTGACAAGTGCCCTGGCCGCTACAGTGTAGCAGCTAGAAATAGCCGCTGAAGTGAATCAATGTCGGCTAAGAAGTGCTGCAGGGTTTTTCATGTTTTCTAAAATCCCTTGATTTGCTCTCAGATTCTCTCAGGTGAACCTGCGCATCATCCCAGTATTTCAATGCTTATAATTTCATATGGGACGCTGGGCCTGGTTCCCAGCACGTGAAAAAAAAAGATAAAAAAAACAGAGCTTCTGTTATGACAGGTATGTTGAGAGTTTAAGCCTCTTGAAGTATCATGAAATTGAGGGTCTCAACCCTGATAGGCATCGTAAAAAAAAAAAAAAAAAAAAAGTCAGCTCCGGACTGGTGACAGTCAATGCGGCCTGTCAGCTGCAGTTTGCCAGTTCCGGAAGTTACAGGACTCTGCTTGAAAGTGGACTTTGGGACCGCAAATTTTTCTTGTCAGGTACCGGGCCTAGGACTTCTAACTACCGGACCCTAAGATGCTCCGAAACCTAGGACGTACCAGACTCCTTGGACCTCGCCTGGGACCTACCCGGACCAACTGGGAGTGGGCGCAGGTGGGACTCCGGAAAGGGACTCTAGACTCTGGGATCGGGACTCGGGACATGCAGACAGCGTGAAATCCTTTCACCACCAAATATCTGCGGAAAAAAAGCATCACCGAGCACAAGAGGTAATGAAGTCAAGAGTCAACACTCAAAACGGGACACAACTTCTCAAAACTTCATCAAAACTTCTTGAAATATTCAGAAGTAAGTATTGTTTGTTCTTGGTCCAACATGATCTGTAAAGACACAGACATTACTATCAGGGTTGTCCACCCCTGCGGGGGTCTGGGGGTCTGGGGGTCTGGGGGTGGGCAACCCCAACGGACCCCCCCCCCAAAATAAAATAAAATAAAATAAAATAAAAAAATGTGCAGCGACGACGCTCACCCTATGGGATAAAAAGCCACCCCCCACCCCAGACCGGCCCCCCGGGAACCTCCCCCCCTTGCCCCTGGAAGTGGGGGTGGGGATGGTTGAGGACGGGGGTCAGGCGCAGGGGTCGGGGCGGGTGCGGAGGTGGGCGCGGGGTTGGCGGTGGGCATGGGGTTGGGCGCGGGGGTCGGGATCCCTGCACGGGGGTGGGTGTGGGAATGGATGCTGGGGTCCAGGTGTCCAGGTGTCCAGGGGTCCAGGGGTCCAGGGGTCAAGGGGTCTGGGGGTCCAGGGGTCCAGGGGTCCAGGGGTCAGCACACCAGGGGTCCGCGACTCTGTGGGGGCACCCGATTACGGAGTTTTTCCGGCCCCTCAGAGAGCCCATTTTGAAGAGAAAAAAAGGGTTCCCCACACAGTTCCTCACAGGGAGTGCGGGGAAGGCAAAAAGAAAATCCCGAATTTTGCACTCCTGCGGACCCCTGGACCCCCGGTGCCCAGGGGTCGGGGATCCCCACGCAGGGGTCCGGTGGTCGTTCGTCAACCCTGGCATACACCCCGGGGATCCCCGCTTGTTTACTATCATTAGATTCATGCTAATATCTTGATACAGTAAGGTTAGGGGCTAGCCAACTTATAGCCTCTTAAAGAGAAAAAACTTCAAAAAAGAGAAAAGTAAGAGACCTGCTGGTAAATAGTCCACAACTGTAACCTAGGCCATGTGCCTGGATGATACACACATGTAACTGTTGACTAGCACATAATGAGTTCGAATCCATTGTATGCAATAAGCTGGACACAATGAGGTCAGAGACTAACGCCCGTCAAGAAAAAGCAGGTCTTTTGCACTGGGCTCACAGTCTTGAAGCAGTAAGTAGTTTTTCACGAAGACTGATGCAAGACCTCTGGCCTTTTAGTGGAAACTTGAAAGTCATTTTGATTGATTGATTGGTTTGACTGCAAAGGGTCAAAAGATAGGTAGGACTCAAAGGCCAGGGGCCTTAATGTCCCTGTACCATTGGATAGAGCAGCAGCCATAACATTGCATATGGAGCGAAGCTGTCTGTAGCTTCGAGGCTGTGGTGTTTTTCAAACATCTTCTCTCTTTAGAAGAAAAAAAGACAAAACACAGGCCCTGAAGGGTCCAATAACTACTAAGGTTTTATAATTCTATTTGATCTCAAGGTTATGCAGTACATCGGCCCTCTCAAACATAGAGGGGGGGGAGGAGCAAGCTAAAAGGAGTGGAGGAGGGGAATCAATCAAGCCACCCATTCTTTTAACGTCACGAAAAAGAAATGAAGTAAGGATAAGGATAAGCACCGACCGTTAGATCCCAAATGATGCATGAACCATCACTGCTAGCACTGACACACTCACTATCATTCCTCCTGACCTGCGCAAGGGCTTGAGCAGAAACAAACAACCACAGAATAAAGCAAAAGAGAAGGCGGTCAGATTCCAAGACAAAATCAGAGGTGAAGTTTCCTATCCTCCGTTTTTCTTTTTTTCTTTCAAAGGAATGCGAGGTTTTATTACAATCAATGAAAAGACGAGGACGGGGACCTCATAATTGAACCAGGAATTACTGGGCCCTTTACCCAGCTTCGGTTGATTGGTGGAAACTGGGTCCAGCATCCCCTATACTGTCTGTGTCTGTTCTCAAGCAGAAGCTGGGAAGCACGCCCAATGTCGCCTTTCTGAACAATCGCAGAGGCCAAGTTTCGATTTTCTATAAGCTAAAGTTTTTTGGCATTGTCTTGAGCCATTGCGGCTAATGCTCCTAGCTAATATCATGGAAGCAATACTGCACAAACGAAAAGAAGATTGTTTGCCCAGTAAGCATGAGTAATCAGCTCACGCTGATTACAACCCTACCGTTTGTACATACCACCTGCCGCTCCTGCTAATTGAATGGTCTGGTGAAGTATTTGGATCGTGGTGATTTTGGCAGTTCGCCACTGGGGGTGCTGTGAGAAGTTCATTGAACCTTCTCATTTAGAGGAAGGAAAAGTACTACTTGCCCACCACTTGGGCGTTTTCCCCCGCTGCAACCCTCAGGTTCGAGGGCCTCACAAGCACACAAGCACCCTGGCGGGTCACACACACACTCAAACACTCAGGCATCCTGACAACACAAGCACCCTGTCGGTTGTCGCGTTAACGCAGCGCTGCGCTAAGTTGCACTAGCGCCCGGCCTAGGTCTTCGGGCTGACATGCAGGTGAATTTGCACCCGCCAGTTTCCCGCCCAGCCATGACCAGGCTGCGCCGGCCCAGCTTCGAATTTCGACGTAAGGCGGCTACTCTCGCCATCGCCCAAGGAAAAGGTGAAGAAAGACGCCCCCATCACGCCCGCGCCCTGCCTGTGCCACCTGAACGGGATAGAAGCAGTCTTGCGGCCCAGCGTGCCCTAGCGTGCTATTTTCACAAGAGGGTAACAGCCTTCACAGGCAAATAGTCGGCCTTCCAAACTGGACAGGTTCAGCTGCCCGATGCGATCTCCATTGGAGTGAAGCAGCCTTCCACGGGAGAACAGCAGCCTTGCCGCCCAGCGCGCCCTACGCGCGCCATTGGCACAGCTACTCAAGACACCCCTCGAAGGTGATGGGTAGACTCCCCGGAAGGTAGCTGCCCGTTAGCCGCTCGACAGAGGTACTGCAGGTGCTGAAGACCTTTCTGCTCCAAGGCGCCTCCACACTCGACACTGTTCCTCAATCAAGATCTAACGGTGAGACCCCTCCAAGATCCCACCGTCGCGAACTGACGTCAACCACTTGATCCTTTCGACCGATTACCTCGCCTCCAAACGACACACACCTCCCCCTAAGTGCCTCCCACTCCACTGACACCCCACCCCATCCCGGTTCTCCCTCCCAAGACCCAGTCCATCACCTCCCCCCCTCCCCCTTCCCTGCAGCATTCACATTCCCCACTCAACACCTCACCCCAAACCTCTATACCCCCCCTCCCCCACCTTGATACCCCCCGCCACTATACCCCCCTCCCGCCCTCCTGCCCTCCTGCCCCGCCTGCCTTGCTGTCCAATCACCAACCCCGCCATTCATGCTGATGTCCTTCAACACGTCGAGCTACGGCCATGGACTCAGGTTCATCCCATCACACCACATACCTAACGCTCCTCTGATTAGTGTAAAGAAGCCCCTCTCATTATAGGTTCACATACCTTAAATCCGCACAGTCCACTGCTGATAGAATCAGCCCCCTCCAGTACAAAGAAGGGAAAATAACACAAACGAAAAAAGGAAAAAGAAACCGAACATAACAACCAAGCATGTACCTCCTCATCCCTCGCCACCACTCACCCCTTCGCCACCCACTGCAGCTTTACGTGGTTAACAGCCTTCGCTGACAAACGTGCATGACACCCTCGTTTGCGATCCAACCCCCAGTTGGGAAAAAAGGAGAGGAATTAAGCCAAAGAAACCATAACAGACTTAAACAGAGAGAAAAATACTTCTTTTCTTTTCTTTTCTTTTCTTTTTTGAGAAAAAACATGTCCTTCTGGTCTTGGCTCCATATCCATTCTGGGAAGCGTCAGTCCGGTTCCTTTTTTTTTTTTTTTTTTTTTTTTTGAAAAAAAAAAACAGAACCTCTCGGTTCTGGCTCCTGCCATTCTGGGGAGCAACAGTGCGGTTCCTATTCCCCCGGCAAGTCAAATATGGATACAATAAAGACACACGCACGCTCCTCCCCATTATGGTTGAAAGGCCCGAGTGGACGGCATTGATTACTTCCCTAGGGAAGGATGTACCACCCCTCACCCCTGCCTAAGTTAGCCTGTATCTTCTACCTTCTGATTCTCTGAGCCGCCTGGCTCCTAGCTCCTCTCAGCTGAGTGCTGTCGGATGAACCTGAATGCTAGAGCTGATGTCCAGGGCTGGCATCTAAAAGTTTGCTAGATATATTTCTAGTACTTTCTACCCATCTCTACCCTGTTCTAACAAATAACATATTCGTATCTTGATTAGAACACAGATTTTCTAGACCGCATTTGCGGTAAAAGAGATCTGCTCCTTTTTTTTTTTCTTTTTTTTTTAAAGTAAAACTGTAAAACCCTAAATCCTCATCCGGTAACCATTACCAACGCCTTTGGGACTCTTGGAATCCCCTCCTATGCTGGGTTGTGCGGCTACTTTTCTAGGCCCTTGACTGTTCTCCTTGAGTGTCCTACCCATTTTTCAATTCCCTTAAAAAGTGTCACTAGAACCCTAAACCCTAAACCCTCATCCGGTGTCCTTTGACCAATATCTCTGATCTGTCCTTTCTATTCTGCCTCCCCGTTTACCCTCGCTTCCTCTTCACCCCTCTCTCCATTTGAAAATCAGATGTGGTCCTTGAATAGTTGCTACTGCCCAAGCGTTTCATGATGGCTTCCTTTTGCTCGGGCTGCTGACGTACTTGATTCTTCACTACTTTCCACTGAGCCTTGAGATGAGTTTCGAGCAGTGTGAGGAGGATCTCCTTTGCCTCGTGTTTATGCATTAATGTACCGTCCAGTGTGGCTTGGCATCGACGCTTCCAAATAGTCCAGAGACAGTACTGGCGTATCAGCTGGAACATATGTTTCTGAAAAGGCTGCCGCTGCTTGGGACCCCGCACTCCCAGCAATAAAGATAACTTCGAATCTGGGAAGGCAATCCAGGCTACTTGGCCCCAGATACCCCTGGCTTCGTCCCACATCACAGATGCCTCTACGCATTCTATTAGGCAATGCTGCATTGTTTCTGGTATTCCTTCCTGACATACCCTGCATATCTCACTCTCCTCACTTCTCTGTCTGTGGCTTCTTCTTTCGTTGACCCATACGTTCACTGGGAGTGCTACGTGTGCTATTAGCCATTGCATACTCCTGATTGGTCCCAACCTTATCGCTCCTATGTTTGCCCAAGGAATGCTTGACAGCTGTCCTCTGGGGACCCCTACCCTCTTCTCCCATCTCTTGAGCAGCGTGGGTGTCATGGAGAAAGATGGGCTCCTCAATCTATAACCTATTCTCGTGGTGTAGTGCAAAATGTTTATTCTCCTAGACGCTCCTGTTCGACCACTTCTGATGTTCCATGCCCATTCCGCCGGGTCCACTTCCAAATCCGCAATTGGCACTGCCGAGTTGTATACCGTGAATTCCTCCGTCTCCACCACCCTCACCTTCCGCAAGTAGTTTTTCAGAACGAGTAACTGTATTTTGGACTCGCTATCCAATTTAGACGTGGTGATGGCTGGATGGAGGATGTCATACTTATCCGCTATTAGTCAATCCGGTCTGGAAGGCTGTAGTCCCCAGATCATGAAGACCTCCTTAGGTTCTTCGTCGTCTTCCCACGTGGCCCAATCTCCCAGCCCCCACTGTGTCCTTGACTGCAGCAGCTGTTTCCATGCTTGCGGTATGGCTCCCAAGACAATTCCCAGGTTTTCTGATAATTTGTGACTTCCTTTCAGTTGCGTCTTTATTTCTGAGACCGTTTTCCACCTCCTCTCTCCCTCTATCCAAAGATGTTTGACCTTCCACACCCCGTGCTCCAACCACCTTCCCCACTTCGTATCCGTCGCCGCGAGCATCAATGGTTTTCCCTATCCGTCTTTAATGCCCGTATTGCAGAATAAAGGTTATCTGAGAACTTCCTCCCTTGTGGTTGGTTCTCTTACCTTTGCTGGGAAGATCTCCTTCCAGAGCTTAATGAGTTGCATCCAATAAGAAGAATTCCGAGTTGCCTCCTCTTGTTCCATATCACTCCCTTCCCTGGTGCCTACGTTTGCCCAATTGCCACACATAATCCAAAACTGTCCTGGAATGTTACTTGGCGTTTTATATTTTGCTATTTGTCGAATCCTCTCCAGTACCACTGGGGTCCATGATAACCTTGGTTGGGCAATTAGCTTGACTACCCACTTGGTTTGAAGTGCTTTAAGTTGGATGTCCGGATCTAGCACACCTAGACCCCCCTGCTGCTTGGGTCTAGTTACATATTTCCATGCTACTTATATATGAAGCGGGTGTTGTTTGCTTTCGCTGTCCATAGATACGCCGCCGCTCTTCTTCTCAATAGGACTGCCGAAGCTTTTGGTGGAGACCAGATTGACCCAGCATACCATAGCATTGAGAAAATAGATGCATTACGTATCAGTGCCCTTCCACATATTGAAGTATACACTGCCGACCAGGGCCCCAATTTTGCCAAAATCTTTGACATTAGGTCCGCTGCCATGGATTGGTGCGTTCCTCCTATTATTTTAATTCCCTGGTATCTAATCGGTGCCTGAGCTGTCAACCACTGCAGGCCCTCCGGGTTATTAGTCAGAGGTATGGTTTCTTGGTCCTGTTCAGCGAACCACCACCCCATTGTTTTTTGCCAATTAACCTTCATTTCTGACGCAAGTTGAAAAGCGTCCATTGCCTTTGTTAGGGCTTGAAACGAGGAGTCGGACACTCTTATGAGCACCGTTAAATCATCTGCGAAAAGAATTGTCGTAGGGAGATGTATCATATGGCCTTATTGATCCGGTGGAACTATCACTCTCTGGATTGATGGGCCCTTTCGTGGGAAGGAGGCTACTGCTTCCATTATGAAAAAAAATATAGGAGTAGCCAGAGGATCCCCTTGTCTGACCGATCTCGACATCTCGTAGGTCGGGGAAAGGTGGCCATTAATATGAACCTGCCCCTGTGCATCATTATAAAGGACCCTTATCCACTCCTGAAATTCGGACCGACTCCCATCTTTTCCATGCATTGCTGCAGGAATGGCCAACTGACTTGATCGTACGCCTTTTCGAAATCGAAGAATAATATGGCAGGGTTAATTCTCCTATCTTTGATGTAACGGATTGTTTCCGTTAGTGTCATAACATTATCGAGAATAAACCTCCCGGGAATAAATCCCGTTTGATCTATATGAAAACAATTCGCAGTAATGGTTGTTAGGCGATTCGCTAGCGCCTTGGCTACTATCTTGTGTGTGAGGGTTAAAAGGGTTATTGGTCTATAATTGCGTATGTGTGATGGGCTTCCCTTCTTGTATAGTAGCGTAACTATTCTTGAAGCTGACTCCTGACCTATTCCCTCCTTCTGCCACGCTTGCTCTAGGAAGGCCAAGTACTCTTCACCCAAGATTGGCCAGAACTCCAACCAAAATTCTCTGGTTAGACCGTCCTTCCTAGGAGTTTTATTTGGGGCCATAGACTTTACTGCTTCCCATAACTCCTCCTGAGTTAGCAGAGCGTCCAATCTCGCTGCCTGAGGCTGCGAGATCGTGGTCTGCAGATGGTTCAGGAACTTTGCCCGTGTTTCCACCACCTGTTGCCTTGGAAATCCCCCCTCCCTTGACGTGTATAGATTGCTGTAAAAATCAAAGGCGACCCGAAGCATACCTTCTTTGTCCGAGGTAACTCCCCCTGTTCCTTCGAGTTGAGCTATAAGATTATTTCTTCCTCTGGATTTTATTTTTTGGAAGAAGAATCTAGTCATTCGTTCTCCCTCCTCCCATTCCCTGACTCTAGCCCTCATTTGCAGTCCCCTTGATTTCCATCGCTGCCATTCAGCCATTTCGTCCCTTGCTGCTTCGAGCGCTCTTTCATAAACGTCGTTGCCTGGAAAATTAATGATGTTGCACTCTGCTAGCTTTATTATTTGCTGCAGCTCTAGATCTCTTTCCTTTCTTCTGGCCGCCAAACTCCTAGCGACCCCTGACGAGGCCTTGGACAAAGCTATTAGCAGTTCGGGGAAGGTTTGAGTATGTGAATTATGTTCTTGACACGCCTGAAACACCGCCTGCCTCATTTCCTACGTTCTCAACAGTGAGTTATTTAGCTTGTAAAATCCCTTACCTCTTTTGACTTGCTTATCTGTTACAAGGTCCAGGTGAATAGGCTTGTGATCTAATCCCGTCCCGTATGGCAAATTCCCTATACTTACAGACTGTATCATTCCTACTATACCCGGCGTTGTTAGGAAGTAATCTATTCTTGACGCCGATACATGTTGGCTGCGATTCCTCTTCAAGTATGTGAATTGCCTTTCCTCTGGGAAATACAGTCTGTAAGGATCAAGAAGGTCTGTACTAGTCATCAACCTATGAACCGGCAAGGCCTCCTCAGACAGGCCCTCATCCCAACTCCTGCCTCCTGGTGATAATCTATCTAAGGCAGGGTCCAATGCGACGTTCCAATCTCCTGCTAATATCAAATGTCTGTCCTCCTCCAATATTCCCTGGAAACGGTCTATAAACTCTACCCTCTGTTGAAATGTATTAGGACTGTAAACTGATATCAACGTATAAGGTTCCTCATGAAGCTCGAAGTTGACTTTTACCCATCTCCCTTCCATCTCATCCACCGACACGTTAGTGATGTGTATGTTGCCTGCCGCAGCTGATCTTTTATTTTGGATTATAACCACCCCTGTAGAATGGTGGCTGACCGTCGGTGCCCACCAAGCCTCCTTTACCCTTTGAAGCCTCTGCATTACCTTGTTCTTTATTTTCTGATGATCTGTTGTTTCCTCGAGGTGAGTTTCTTGTAAACAAATAAAGTCCGGTGGAGAGGAGGTAAACCAGCCGTGTAATTTAATACATTCTGCCATTTATCTTGGTTTTCCAAAACCCCTACCATCCCATTTATATTCCATGAAGTAATCTTAATCGCTGGCTGCATGAGGTTCCCCTGATCTGTCCTTGGCCTCTTCCTTGGTCTGCCTGTTCCCCCTTCCTCCATGAGCTCCCTATGCTTGCCTCATGTTACTCCCTGACTGCCCCCTAGGTTTATGTACCCTGTACAGTTGTTTCCACTATCGTAGACACCAAGGATATTCTTTTTTCTAAGAATTCAGGCTTCCAAGCGAATGTGTCCACCTTAATCGCCACTGCTGCACACCGGGCCACCCATTCTGCTGCGACATCACACCCCAGTAGGCCATAGGGAATGGTTTCCACCACCTGCCAAGGCATCCATATCAGTCCCTCCCTGAGTTCGGATTTTGCCTGCATATGTATGAGCAGTGGTCTAAAGTCCGCTGCTGATTCGTCGCCTCCTCCGTCCCCTATTTCCATAGATTCTTCCCTTCTATCCCCCAGTACGTATGCCCGAGATGGCACTCCTTCCCCAATGAGGTTCTGAAGGTTCTGAAGGTTCTTGCTCTCACAGGCATTGACCGGAACTGTGACCAGCTGGAGAGATTGGTGCATTGCCACCTCCCAGTCTGAATGCTTTTCATTCCAGCGGCGATGCAGATTTCTGCTGCCCACCAAAAGAAAACGAACCAGGGTCAGTTCAAAATTGTGTCTTTTTGCCTGGCGGCGCTGGCGTTGCCGGCCTTTTTCATTTATAAGCTATTTTTCATGTTTTTACCTTTTCTAATGGGAGTGAGCCCCCAAGGATGCAGTGTGTTAACCCCCGCGTAGGAACAAAATTGCTGGGAAACATAGTGACACATTAGGGCAGGACGCTGGCTGGCTGGCAGTGCTAGCATCTGTGCACATGCCGCAGCGCGACCACACAGGCAGGCGGAGGCACTGGGAAGATGGTGGGTGTCATAGCTGGAGGGGTGCCTCGTGCAGGGAGTGAGACCCTTAGGGCCACTGCACATAAGAAAAGTAAAAACAAAGAAAAGATTCAAAAGAGAGAGCTACCGTAGTATTATTAGTAACCCATAACTGCTGGGGCACAGACCTGAATTCGAATCCAGAACACATATTGCTGGCCTTTTTTGTTTTGGGTACAAATGCTCCAGTCTATGGGTCTCGCTGCACTACTCTATACTCGTGCAACTTTTCACGAGTTGGTCTAGAGCTGTCAGACTCCAGAAAAGTCCCGAAACCCGTGCATCGCCACATGTGCTCTAGACTCTTGAACTTCTAGAGTAGCACTATGGGATCCGACAATTTTTCATGAGCTTCTACGAGTTCGGAAGCTTCACTACCAGACAGCGGCAGCCTGGGTTGTCTGGCCAGACTCGAGGTGCACTCAGGGAAATTCCGGGCGTTCCGTCCGTCCTTCGGAGCTCCCTAAAAAAAACGGTCCTTGCAGGCTGGTACTCAAGAACAGCCTAGAGCGAAATTCACGCCCCCCTTCTGACAGCTCATGAAATTGGGTAACTAGAGCAAAATTCTCGAGCAGGTGCAGCGACGACAACTCTTGCGGAATTCTTGAGCTGTTTCTGACAGCTCGATAACGTTTTCAAGAGCGCCCATTTCTTGAGTAGGTGCGTCGGTGCTGCACTCTTGGTTTTGCACGAGTATAGCGTAGTGCAGCGAGACCCTATTCGTGGGGAGCAGCACGTGCTGGGAACCGGGCCCAGCGTCCCATATAGAATTAGACAAGTCATTTGAAATACCATCGTCATTACCTGGATTCGGTTAAGAACAATATGAGAACTATTAAAGGAGTTCAGGAAATTTTAGGAAAAACATGGATAACTGCTGACCTATTGCTAGGCTACTCAAGCAGCAATTACTAAGTCAAAAACCACAGAAGTCCTTCGAATATTGCTGGCCTGCTCATATCCCATCTGCAATTCTATGAATATCTCTGTAAAGAAATGGGACCCTTGCTGATTCTCTGCTGGGGGCCCTTCGAAAAGAGACTGGATCCAATGAGGAGTTGGATGTGGCAGCGATTGTTTTTCTTCTGTGCACTTTCAATTTTCAGAAGTGAGGGGCACATTTGGCTACCACAGCCTTTCCTTTTTTATTTTTAAAATCGACCCTATTTATTGTGGTGTGCCGCATCACGTGCGCGTGTGCTATGCGCCACACACGCTCGCGCACCTCAGGTATGATATTTGATATTTATCCATTTTAATTAATTATTTTAATTAATTGGTTACTTTAAATTACCTGGATGCAGTTCACAGGTCCCTTGTGCTCCTTCATCGAGGCTATCATTGATTGACTCTCTTTTCCTATTCTCCAGACTCTAACCTGCACCAAAATGACAGCGAAGACAATCAGTTGGCATCAGTCTCCTTTGCTAGACCGCCTCAATCTCTCCCCTTCAGCGTCTAAAGGCAGAAACACGAACAAAGTTCATTCAGGTCAAGAGGAGGAAATATTCACGCCCACTGCGAATGGACAGCCTCAATCTCCCTGCAGCTTCAACCACCAGTACATGGCCTCAGCCTTGCAGAAAAATGCACTTGTCCCCACAAGAAAGTTCAGGGGCTGGGGGAAGGCCCGTTAGTGCAACATAGGAAGAAGAGGTGGGCCCAGCGGGAAAGGGCAATGGACTGTTGCTTTGCCTGCTGGTTCAGTCCGTGATGTGAAAACACGTGCTCCGACAAGACAAACTCAGCTGCAGGAAAAAAAAAAAAAAAACTGAGCACAAGTACAGAATGACAAAACGCCTGCCACATGGCGGGAATGCAGTATAGGAGGGCAGAAAGCCCTCGAACTTGAGTAAAACGAGCAGAAATGCCACGGGGAAAGTTTGCAGTGATTTACGATTTGGTTTTTCTTGTTTCATTCGTCTGTATCTGCACCCATTCTGTCTCGATATGGGCGCAGAAAACTAAAGTAAGTTTTTTTTTTTTTTTTTTTTTTTTTTTTTTTTTTTTTTTTTTTTTTAATAAAGAAAACTAAAGTGCTTTTGCCTTGTCCACACGCCAAAAATAAAGGAAATACCGAAAAAAAAAAAAAAAAAAAAAGCTGACTTGCTGAAGAAAACATGGGAATCTGCACTTGCATCAGGCACATGAAGTGTGCTATATTCAGTTGCATTATGAATGGCTTGCTGGAGCATTTGGCAGGAGAGCTCGGAGAACACAACCGAGGTGCCCTAAGTCTTGTAGAACAGATCTAGTATGGAGCAAAAACGGTCCTCTGTTTTCATTATTATCAACTATAATTCATAATCACGCACCTGCATCTGGCAGCCGAAATGTGCTAGATGCAGGCGCCCTCTCCTGTGGGAGTTCGCCTGGGTGTCAACGAGTGAAAACACCGCACTCCTTTTCGATCCATCTTCTGCCAGCAGGTCCAGCACAGAGGCTTGAACGGATACCACCCTCAAATTTCCAAGCGGTCACCGGTAGCTTTCAGGCTTGGCAGAATTCAAAGTTCAGGCTCGTACATTTAGGCTCGGGTGTGCTGGTGGTTTAAAGCAATCCTGGACCGCATATCCCTGTTTTTGGCAATGAGGCAAAACTTCCTCTTGCGCCTATTTCTCCAATCAGTCTGATTGATCCGGAGGTCCAACTAAGGTTTGGTTGCTGCATCCTCCGGCTAGGATTTTGGCTCCTTTGGGAAGTTGAATAGTGTTCTTCATTGAGTTCCGGTTTGGTCCCTTCGAGCTCCGGTTTGGTCCTTCAGTTGGCAGTTTCAGATTCATGGGCAGCAGCTTGCTCTTGATCGTCACCAAGAGTAGGTTCATCTGTATAGGCCTCCTCATCGGCCTCCAACAGGTCAAGCGTGGCAAGACAATTGCTGCCTCTGAACCGTCTGCGGCATGTAGCCTTCTTGTCACCTGTTGTGTGAACGAGGTCTTGTGCTTCTAGGCTGGATCACTTAAGGTTGAGGGAAGTGCACCTTCGGCAACTTCCAAGCATGATTGTGCAGTCATATCCAATTCGGGAGTAGGAAAGAGTTTGCTGAGATACAATTTTAGGTTGTGATGCAGCCCATTTAGCTGCGGCATGTGGATCACAATACCGTTTTATTAGGAGTTCTTCTATTGTGGCTACCACTTGGTCAGGTCTATTCTGTCATTGCTTGCCTGTACAGCTTTAATCTCGATGAAACTGCGGACGAGAGGCTCCACATTGGTGCTCATGATCATAGCTTGAGATGCTGGCTGAGTCTGCAGCACCTCAAAGTATGAGCACATGGAGCTAATTAAGGACGTGATATCGTCCTTCCCGTCGTATCTAAGCGGAACCTGAGACGCCTTTCTGTCCACATAAGGCATGTTGCAACTGGGACCAGCAACTGCTGTGTCCGAACTTGGGGCTGCAGCGGTATGTCACTTTCATTATATGAGGGACGCTGGACCCGCTTTCCAGAAGGTGTAGCTCCCCACCAATAGACTGGAGCCCTTTGCCGGGCTGCTAGTGGTGGACGTTCACGTCACCATCACTAGCATCACCCGGCAGGATGTGTTTTCCTAAAAAAAAAAAAAAAAAAAAAAAAAAAAGAAAAAAAAAAAACAAAAAAAAAAACAACAACAACCTGCTTGGCCTGTCACTTGCTGCAGCAACAGCGCAGTCTGCACCTGCTGCAGGTCCCGATAGGCTGTTCACCACACTTTCTTTTGTTCTTTTGAAGGCCAGTATAGATCTATTAGGGAAGAGAGGCAGGGGGTAGAGGAAGGGGAGTAAGAGATCTGGCCCTTATGCAAGTCTGCAATTTGCTGCAACTGGTCACGGTGCTCCTTGGCCATCTCAGCTATGGTTTTCTGCAAATCACTCACCTGATCCAACAGCTTGGACACCAGATGCAATCAGACTTGTCTTCGATACACTCAGCATGCGTGCAAACAGATGGCGATCAAAACTGGCGCATGGCGCCCACACAAAGCTCAGAGATAAACGAAGCCAGGAACACAGCTCAGATTCAACTTGTATTGAAATGGCTATGGCGCTGAGCGCCGACAAAGATTCACACCCGCTCAACTGTATCCACCAGCAACTTATTCACTCACACGCACGCACTCTGGATCACCCTGGATGTCCCACAGACACACACAAACAACACACTAACACACTCTCTACTACTAACCTACGGCAGCTATGGCTGCCTTCTTCCACCTCCTACTAACTACTTGCGGCTATGGCCCATCTTCCTCCTATTAGCCCACTTCTCCTATGGGCACCTGCAGACCTCCGTAGCACAAGACGCTCAGACAGCACTTCCGCACGGCTCACTGGCAGAATGAATGAATGGCTTGACACTGCTTCTTTATTTATACTTCGGATCGTCATTGGTCTGCCCTTGCAATCCGGGCCCGGGTATGCACAGTCCCGCATGGTACTTGCTGACTTGACAAAGTGAGACCTGGGACTTGGTACCGCTGACTAGGATAGGTAGGACTGGGACTGCCCTTTGCTGACTGTGTTAGGACTGCCCCTCGCTGACTCAAACGCGGAATGACTCCTACGACCTACAAGAGCCAGTTCTAGATCTACTGGAAGGTCGTAGACTTGACCTTTCCGAGCTGTAGCAGCTACGACCTCTACATACCCTACAACCACTAAAACTAAGACCTACGGTTCAAACCCCGACGAACGGGCTATATCCAACTACTGCACATACAACTTTCAGAACGCAGGTCGCGGGTTCAAACACACGCGGGGCAACGGGTACTGTACAAGCGGGCAGGGGAAGTCTAGGGATCAAGCCCTGGGTACTGCATTTGCTATCGTAAAGGTGAAAACCGTTTCACTCCCGCCGGCCTAAATTCGAGGTCCTCCGAGAATATTTCAACGCAAGACAGGACCTTTACCTTTCCATTCTCTATCATAGGCGTGGACTACGTCGGGAGAGGTCTCTAAAAGCTTGGGTCTTGTGAACCAGCGGTCGTCCTCCGGTTCCTGATAAGCGAACCTGACCTTGTATTGTTTCTGTGGACGAACTCTACCTCCGGTTCTGAATACATCCTCTTCCACAATGCGGTCTATATCATATGTGCCATCCATATCCGGTGGAATCATTGATCGACGCGAAGAAAATTGTTGACTACCTTCTTCCCCCGAATACAACGTACGGTCATTATAGCTGTATTTGAGGCATCTTTCAGTCCAGATACAGCTATAATGACCGTACGTTGTATTCGGGGGAAGAAGGTAGTGACACACGGTAATAACTTCAACGCATGGAAGACTCGGTATGTATGGAGGTGTGGTGGTATCTTTATCGTGCAAGAAGGTTCGTCCTCTCCGCCTTTCACTTCTAGGACAGACCACAGTCCGCTATACACGGGTAACAACTTTTATGAGATGTTCTCTTCTGGGGCGAACTCCTTAGACTTGACCCAGACTAAGTCACCTACCTGGCACTGCGATAGCCGACGATGCTTATTAGCTTGCTCTATCATCTTATGCTGAGCTTTCCTCAAATTGTCAGTCACCCTTGTGATTTCCCTCTCATGCTGAAGCGCAAATTTTCTAGTTCGGGGTGGCAGTGTTATGTACCCGATTGAAGTTCAATCCACAACGAATTCACACGTTCCCATACGCGCATGCAATTGCAGAGTAGACTCGAAGGAGGCAAATCCACACAAAACCGGAGAGAATATATGCACAGTGGAAGCTCAAAATACACAGAGAATTGAAAAACGAATTTCAAATTTGCAATCCCTTGTCCTCCTCCAATCAAGCCAGAGTACTTGTTCCAAGAATCACAACCGCGTTTACAACAACCTCGAACAACCAAAAACAAGTGTTCAACGAAGTCTGCAGGAGTCTTCGTCTTCCTCCTCGCCACCTCATACCCCTAGCTATGGCTGCCGTAGCACCAGTAGCCCCACAGCTGTCACAACGTTCTAATCTGAACCAGCAACCCCAATGACGGCAGCGCCAGCTCAGCGCCTGCACGAAAGTGCAGTGCTGGAAGTCCTAATGAAGAAGGAGACAACCGATCCAGCACTTCGAAGAAGACAAAAACGAAGTTCATCATGAGGAGGAACAACAGAATGGCTGCCAAGTGGAAGATGGAAGCACCCAAACCCAACAACACAGTCCTGTGGAAGCTCTCATGCAGAGCTGCGGAATAGCAACAGTGCGATCTTCAACTTCATTTCCCAACCCCAGCTATGGCTGGGCTTTGAGGAAGAAGATGACCTTGCCCAAAATAGAGCAGCAGCGCTCCAACAACAGACGGGCAGAGTTTCCCCCAGCCAACGAAAACGTGAAAAGACCCAAACCAAATTTCCTGCCCGCTACTTCTACCCTCTGACTAGATCTAAGAGGGGCTCCAAAGGCAACAACCCA